GAATAAAAAATGGAAAGTTATTGGAAGCTTGATGTTCCCAAACTTAAAAATCTACTGAATCTTTGAATTTTGAATTTGAAAAGTGCCTTGCAATAGCAATGGAACATGCATCTGTTTGTGTTTGGAATTCTATATAAGATTCAAAAGCTTTTTATGCTCACATGCGTTTCGTTATATTTTAACAGTCTTATTTTGCTCCAAGAAGCTTTTTTGGGGTGGAAGATTTTCTTGATGATGACAACAGCAGACCATACACTTACCAGAAGGAGAAAAAGTCAAAAAATCCGAACAAGCATGTATCCTTTAAGCAACGTACTGTAGCTTACATGGAGCCATTTACTCTTGATGTCTTCATATCAAAGCGCTTTGTTTCCGCGTCAATCACGCACAGGGTAACAAGCAAGCAGGTTGCAGTCGCTGGTACTAACTCCAAAGACATCAAGGCAGTACTCAAATCACGATCTGACATACCTGCATGTTTGGCCGTGGGCCGGATTTTGGCTGATAGAGCAAGAGAAGCAGACGTGTACACAGCTTCTTATACTCCTAGAGAGAGAGACAAGTTTGAAGGAAAAATTAGAGCAGTTGTTCAATCCCTCATTGATAGTGGCATAGATATCAAAGTTTTTCTTGATTGATCCTTGTTTTTAGTCTTTTCCCGCAGTTTTTATGGCGATGTGCCTTCAAGATTCTCAGGGACGAGATCTGTGACTTTAGTTTGTAAAACAGACTTATGTTCTCAAACTTGAAAGGTAAGAACTTTTCATCAAAGCATTTATGCTTCAATGAACTCAATTTTTTCTGTATTATGTCACATCCGTAAAATGCCAGAAATTAGAACATATTGTGTGGAGGGTTTTTTCTATTTTCCTACTTTGGAGTTGGAATTTATTTGAAAAATTATAATGAGGAACTCCTGAGTTTTTCTTAGCACCTCGATCAGTTTTGGTCGATGAACAATGCAATGAAATATGTGAAGCATTGGATAAATCTTTGTGAATGATAAATTTGAATGCCAACAGGTGTTCTACTTGAAGCATTGGATTGTCTCTCTGGTGTGATTCAATAAACGTCATCTTCAATTAATTGATTTCTGACGCTGCTGTGTATAGGGAAAACTCTACAAGGAATTTATAGGGCACACTTGGCATTTTTACATTAGAAGTTGGCCAAAATAAAAATAAAAATTGAAATAAATAAATAGATAAATATAGGCAACAATACAAGTACTGTCAACGTTGTAGTGATATGCACCCTGTAAAAAATTCCTTGTACAAGGGGAATAACCAAATTTTGAAAATGTGTAGTTGGTGGAAGAAAGAGGGCTAATAATGGAATATAATAATGTAGCAAAACGTAGGAAGTAAAACCTATAAACTGATCGAGTCTCGTGATAGCATGATGTCCTAAAATGAAATTGTCTACCATTAACTACTATGATTTCTGTGGAGGATTTTTTCTAGATACAACAATCAAACATATAACTCGTACAACAATCATAAATAGTTTCAGAATTCTCAAGTGTACTCTAGAAAATAAATATAATTGTAAAACTTGAGTATGAAAAATTACAGAATATGAAATTGATAAATTCGTTTTTTTTTTTTTTTATCTCTTTTCCAAAACTAAATGTTTAGTTGAAAAACGGTCATATTATACTGGTTAGTTTGACCCATTAAATAATTCCAAAAATGATTAAAATAAATAAAAAATTTCATTTTAATCAAGAAAGCCCAAGGCTCAATCAAAAACTTTTTAATTATTGCGTGGGATGTAACCCTAACCCCCAACATCCTAGACTAATTATACATAAGAGTTTTGTAGGGATTGTTTGCTGTAACTAAAAACCTCGTTTGCTTTTTGAAATGGTTTAATTGGAACTTTTAAGTTGCCCTTTGAATTGATTAATACTGAAGGTGCTCAATCTTGAAGTATATTTTCTCGTGCAGAAATCTATTTTAATATCTGGCAATGAACAACTTACCTAAAGGTTACTTTTTAAGTGATACAAGGTTAGTCCTTTAATTTCCATGAGTTTCAAGACTGATTTTGGAGTAGCTTCTACAACAGAAGGAATCATATTGATAACTGAATATAGTAGCACTTTATTCTAGCAATGAACAAATGCCGCACTTTCCACCAATTGGGTATTTCATCTAAATTAGTTATTTCTTTTACATATAATATTTATTGTATAAATATCTAACAATTCCTCCACTGACATAAATAAGATAAATATAAATAGAAAGTGCTACATGTACATATTTGTCTGCATAATGGTGTCCATAATTACATGTGGCACTGAATCCAACCTTTAATTCAAATTTCACAATTTCACATCAACAACTGGATGATTGCCATATCACATTATGGACAACATTATGAGCAATAATTATGTACATGTAGATTTTTCCAATATAAATATTAATCTGGATTACGGTAGAAATCACGTAGGTTTTGGTGTCTATCAACTTGAACCTTGGCTTTATATATTCTATCGAGTTTGCTAACTGTAGAGTGAACTATATTTTGAACTCTAAAATTATAGCTGCAAACTGAGACAATAGAACCCACACAAGACTTCTAAAACAATCATTGAGTTCTCACGGTTGTGTTTATTTCAACTATGAACTTTCCCAATTTCTTAGATGGCTCTAGAGAAATTAGCCTCAATTCTCATAGAAATCGACCCCTATTCTAGACTCAAAATAGGTATTTCTATCAAGGGTGCATTGTATCTAAACACCTCACTGAATATGAGCTGTAGTAAGCATTAGAAATATTAGCTCTTCCTCTAATCAAAACAGTTGGTACTACGCATTATAGGAAGGGTTTGGAATAAATTCAATGTAGTGCCCTACAAATCACTCCAATAACATTGTTGTCCCTTTGAACCTTGTCCATATGATCTCCAATTGTAAGGTTGGGTTTCCGCTGTAAGTGATCTAATTTATAATAGGCTTTAGCCCCATTCCCTTGATGTTTTTAGAATTAGCTCTCTAGTTAAGTGTCAGCAATTTATCGCTTCACTTTACATAGTCAGTAGCTATAACCCATCCTTAAGCTGCTGACGCACAGTATTGTGCCTCCTGTGAATATGTTTAGATTTTCCATTTTAGGATGAATTTTAAGCTTTTGAAATAGCTATTTGACNATCGATTGATCTTTGATATTTGTACACTGATTTTAAATACGTTGTTTCACACTTGTATTGTTGTCTAGTGTCAATTGGATGGGAAAACTATTTGAAATTTAAACTGTCCAACAAGGTAATGACCCGTGGCAAAGTGTAAACTAAAGTGTACACCATAGTGTACATGTCACAAGGTTCTTCTCGATTGATCTTTGCTATTTGTACACTGAATGTTGACACATTGTTTAACACTTGCATTGTTGTCAAGTATCAATTGGATGGAAAAATTGTTGGAAATTTAAACTATCCAACAGGGTAACGGCATTTGACAAAGAGTAAACTAAAGTGTTCACCATAGTGTATAGGTCGCAAGGTTCTTACCGATTGATCTTTGCTATTTGTACATTAATTTTTGACATGTTGTTTAACACTTGCATTGTTGTCAAGTGTCAATTGGGTGGGAAATTATTTGAAATTTAAACTGTCCAACAGCGTAATGTCATGTGGCAAAGTGTAAATTAAAGTGTACACCATAGTGTACGTGTGGTAAGGTCCTTACCTGTTGAACTTTGCTATTTGTACCTTGATTCATGGCACGTTGTTTGACACTTGCATTGTTGTCAAGTGTCAATTGGATGGGAAAGTTGTTTGAAATTTAAACTATCCAATAAAGTAATGTCACATCGCAAAGTGTAAACTAAAGTGTACACCATAGTGTGCATGTAGCAAGGTTCTTACCGATTGATCTTTGCTATTTGTACACTAATTTTTGACACGTTGTTTAACACTTACATTGTTTTCAGGTGTTAGTTGGATGGGAAAGTTTTTTGAAATTTAAACTGTCCAGCAGTGTAATGTCACATGGCAAAGTGTGAACTAATGAGTACACCATGGTGTACATATAGTGAGGTCCTCACCGATTGAACTTTGCTATTTGTACACTGATTTTCAGCACATTGTTTGACACTTGCATTGTTGTCAAGTGTCAATGACCTGGGAAAATAGTTTGATTCATGTAACATGGTTCTTACCGATTGAACTTCGCTATTTGTACACTGATTTTTGAGGTGTACACGTTGTTTGACACTTGCATTGTTGTCAAGTGTCACTTGGGTGGGAAAACTGTTTGAAATTTAAGTTGTTCAACAGGGTAATGTCACATGGCAAAGTGTAAACTAAAGTGTACACCTTCGTGTATATGTGGCAATGTCCTTACCTGTTGAACTTTGCTATTTGTACACTGATTTTTGTCACGTTGTCTGACACTTGCATTGTTGTCAACTGTCAATTGGATGGGAAAACTATTTGAAATTTTAAAGTGTCCAATAGGGTAATGTCACGAGGCAAAGTGTAAACTAAAGTGTACACCATAGCGTACATGTGGCAAGGTCCTTACCTATTGAACTTTGCTACTTGTACACTGATTTTCGACACTTTGTCTGACACTTGCATTGTTGTCAAGTGTCAATTGGATGGAAAAACTGTTTGAAATTTAAACTGTTCAATAGAGTAATGTCACGTGGTAAAGTGTAACCTAAATTGTATGCCACCGTGTACATTTAGCAAGATTCTTACCGATCGAACTTTGCTATTTGTACACTAATTTTTGACACGTTGTTTCACACTTGTATTGTTGTCAAGTGTCGATTGGATGAGAAAGCTATTTCAAATTTAAACTATCGAACAGGGTAATGACATGTGACAACGAGTAAAATAAAGTGTTCACCATAGTGTATATGTCGCAAGGTTCTTACCGATTGATCTTTGCTATTTATACATTGATTTTTGATATGTTGTTTGACACTTGCATTGTTGTCAAGTGTCAATTGGATGGGAAAGCTGTTTGAAATTTAAATAGTCCAATATGGTAATGTCACGTGACAAAGTGTAAACTAAAGTGTACACCATAGTGAACATTTGGCAAGGTCCTTACCAATTGGACTTTGCTATTTGTACACTGATTTTCGACACGTTGTCTGACACTTGCATTGTTGTCAA